AATGCAAATGATTTGCATCGAGACCAGTTCAAATCATTGCCATTAGGTAAAATCTGTTTATCCAACCAATGGCAGAAGGGATGACATTTGGGAAACTACTAATTAAATTTGCCACTTCGTTCGGTGATGCAATTGACATTAAAATTGCACACTTCGTCTATAAGTGCATTTATAAATCAATGCGAGTGTTTGAGAGATGAATAAAGACAATCATAATGAGAAAGTGATCCTGACATAGAGATATTGAGAGAAAGAGAGAGATATTAAATGCTAGAGTAAAAAGAGACACCAGAGAGATGTCAATCCACCAATCAATATTCACCAACAGACTCTACTCTTTCAATACATTACTACTCAAACCCATTTAGGGGCTAAACCACAACCACTACCACAATAAAACTACAGTAATCTATATAGACAGCGGTGTTATAATATAATATAATATAATATAATATAATATAATATAATATAATATAATATAATATAATATAATATAATATAATATAATATAATGTAATATAAAACAATATAATTTAATATAATGTAATATAATATAATACAATACAATATAATACAATATAATATAATATAATATAATATAATATAATATAATATAATATAATATAATATAATATAATACAGAATAATATAATATAATATAATATAATATAATATAATATAATATAATATAAAATAATATAATATAATATAATATAATATAAAATAATATAATATAATATAATATAATATAATATAATATAATATAATATAATATAATATAATATAATATAATATAATATAATATAATGCAATACAACATAATATAATATAATACAATATAAAACAATATAATATAATATAATATAATATAATATAATATAATATAATACAATACAATATAATACAATACAATACAATACAATATAATATAATATAATATAATATAATATAATATAATATAATATAATATAATATAATATAACATAATATAATATAATATAATTTAATATAATATAATATAACATAACACAAAATAATATAATATAATATAATATAATATAATATAATATAATATAATATAATATAATAACATGATATAAAATAATATAATATAATATAATACAACATAACATGATATAAAATAATATAATATAATATAATATAATATAATATAATATAATATAATATAATATAATATAATATATGTTTCTATTCAAGATTTATTTCTATGCATTTAGTGAAAAATGTCATGCCCTCACCCTCATGTCATTACAAACCTACAATATAAGATTCGTATTAATCTTCCAAACACAGATGAAAGTCCACTTCCCTATCTGAAAAAGGTCACAAAGGCATGGGAAACAATCAACTGAGCGGTCTAATCCAAATTCAAGTCTTCTGAGGATAAACAGTGGCTTTATATGTTGTCAGATTAAACACTGTAGTAAACACAGAAATTCAAATGTGTGTGTGATGCTCAAAAACAACACAAGAATGAACGAACTGAGAATTTTCTTTCTGGGGAGCTGGTGAAATAACCCTCTACTAGATCTCATAGTTTGGGGATAGTCGTCTGACACAGTTATAGGACTGTGAGTGATTGCATCTAATGCGCATACACAATTGAGTGGTATAATTATTCAAAGCGAGCATAGAGAGAGTTTATATTGGTGCGGCTTGTCTGTGTAAGATCCAGCTAATGGCTGAAAAGGCAACATTTTTAATAAAGAGAGGTTCAGCTACAATGTTAAAATAATTGTAACTGATTATAATGTTTAGTAATGTAAGCATTTGTGAATTTCACATAAAAAAAATGCGGTCACACTTTATTTCGGTGGTCTGTTTGTTGAATTTAAGTTACATTGCATCTACATGACAAATAATTCTCATTAGATTATAGGCAGACTGTTAGGTTGAGGTTAGGGTTAGTGTAAGTTGACTCTACTTGCAAAATTTCTTATGGTTAGTTCAGGGATGGCCAACCCGGTTCCTGGAGAGCCACCTTCCTGCAGATTTTAGTTGCAACTCATATCAAACACACCTGCCTGTAATTATCACGTGGTGTTCAGGTCCTAATGAATTGGTTCAGGTATGTTTGATATGGGTAGCAACTGAAATCTGCAGGAAGGTGGCTCTCTAGGAACAGGGTTGTTTCTAATATGGATTAGTATATTGTTAGTATGATTTGGTATGTTGTTAGTATGTCCAGGGTGCCGCAAGTGGTTGCTAGGGTGTGGCAAGTAAGTTGAAAGGTCATTAGTGAGTTAAATGAGTTTAAAATTAAGTCTGTGTGACAGTCTGGCGCAAAGTTATGAGGCCACAAAGTTGGTCCAATGTTAAGTCAAGGGGACTTACAAATTTTCTGGATCAGTTTTCGGAAAACCGTATGTGGGATCAGTTGGAAAAGACATAGCAACTTAATTCAGTATAGTTTGGAGGTTTGGAGTTAGTTTGGTGGTTGTAGTATGAACGGTCTAGGAGAAGATGCGTTCTTAAAATAGTCTAAGAAGAAGAAGAAAACGTTTACGTAGTATATGAGTATGTTGGCCTTCACAAGCCACCATAATTATTACAACAGTTTAATTTTAGTAATTATGCTTCCAAACATTATAGTATTTTTTATGTAATGTAAGTACACAGTATGTACCGCCTCGATGACAGGCAAATATATTATAGTTCAGTAGCAAATTCGGCTCTCTTCATAATATTAGGATCATGCTCAACATATGTGGTTATTTTCTATTTATATCTCCTTTGAAATATAAACTTTCTTCTGTTTACCATTCATGTTTTTTACATCCTGCCCTCCATCTAAATTTTACAAATCACCAGAATTGAAAACAACCTATACAACTTTGTTTTAATTTCATGAGACCTTTAAACTTCAATTTAAAACGAAACAATCTGATATAATGACCAAGAATCTGGTCTCTAAAACTCCAACAAGGTCAATTTTTGAACACCGCAGTTCATCAGAGCGTACAGTCAGACATTCGCAGTAATTGAGGAAAAATCAACAGTGGCGGATGAAGCACCTCTTGTGAACGTCACATTATCTGCATATCCTCACGTATGAAATATATGCCAAAGATCTGAGAGGATGAAATGAGCGCTGGAACACTGACAGCTCGGCTCTGATTGAAGATCTTTGGTTTATTTCGCTCGTCCTACTGGGAACCATTGATCCAATCAGCAGAGAACAGTGTGTGTGTGTGTGTGGAAAGAGACAGAAGGCAAGAGATCATCCGAGGCAAAGAGGCTTCACATTTCTATCACTATTAAGGGATTATATGATCCATCACGGGTGGTTAAGTGTCCATAATCCAGTCATCTATAGCTGGCGCGTCTGCGTCTGTATAGCCTGTAATCTTGATAACGGCAAAATTGAGGCGGTTTAATCTCAATACACGCTTGAAATCCCAATACAGAAAATCTCATAACACACACACACACAGACTCCAATGCCATACACACAATGTCCTGGCTATAATACAATTTCAAATGGCCTGGGGTTAAAAGTGAACAAACAGACCTTCTTTAAGGTTTAAACGCTGCAATCTAACTGCACAAAAACATTCTTGCAAGGTTTACAACGATAGAAAAAAAATAGAATAAATAAATAAATACATAAATAAATAATAGTTTATTATTATTATTATTATTATTATTATTAATAATAATAATAACAACCATACATTCACACACAAATACATTAATTATCCATCATAAATATTCCATAAAAATGTATCAATTTAATTTATGAAGTGCATTTATTTTTTTCCTAAACATGCTTTATTGACTCTGCTGTTACTATTATTAGTATTATTATTACTAATATTTTACTGTATACACAGTATTTATGTTTTTTGGGGCTAATGAAACGTAAAAATTGTACCAAATTTAAAATATCACTACAATAGTTACTCAATAAAAAAAAATAATAATAACACTAAAATGGCTGTAATAAATAATCAAATAAGCATAAGTCAAATAATACTAATAAATCAAATATCAATTCAAATAATAATAATATTAAAATACCTCCAAATTGAGTATAATTTATCTTTCTGAGTATATAATTAATATTATTACTACTAACTATCATTCCAAAAAATATTATATTAATAATCATCAATAAATTAAATTAAAAGTTTGTCTGATTTTTTTCTGTGAAAATTATGAATATATTTATGAATAAAATAAAATGGTTATAATGCAGTTATTCATATTTACAATAATAACAATAACAGAATATTTGAAATTAAAATTCTGGTTTATGGTATTTTGATTATTGCTCAGATTTGCCATAAATATGATTTCAGATTATAATAATATTTATCTAAGAAACGTAAAAACAATAACAGAGTATTTGTAATAAAAAAAATATATTAAATATAATTTTTGGTAAATAAGTAAATTATTTATATCTAAAAATAGTTTTTGTTTATGGTATTTTGATTATTGCTCAGATTTGCCATAAAATATATGACTTCATATTTATTAGTATTTTTATTTAAGTATAGTTTATTTATGAAACACAATTTAACAGAACATTTGTAATTAATAAAAAAATTAAGTATAATTTTAGGTAAATAATTAAATTATTTATATAAAAATATTTTTATTTTATGTTATTTTTATTATTGCTCAGATTTGCCATAAAATACTTCAGATTATTATTATTATTCATCTAAGTTATATTATTAAATGTTTAAAAAAATTGCTTCAATTTTCAGTTTAAAAATTTTTAAATTGCAAAACATTTTTAATAATGCAAAATTATTAATTTATAAAGATAAATTCAATATTTATCACTAAAACACTATAGTAAATGTAACAGCTGTAGAACTTTTATTAAATCTATGTTTCACATGTAGTGTCCAGTGTCTATAATTATCCTTCTATATCTAACCTAGCATATGTCAATGACACATCTTCTCTCCTGTCACTAAGGGTAAAAGTGTATGTGACTGGTGGAATAGCATTTATTTTTCTGGTACCCATAATGATGCCGTTGGGCTCAGACGGAGGTTGCCAGACGACCCTGACAGACGAGAGACGCACTTCTGGAAACATTAGCCTGACAGGTGGACCAGGAACTGCAGAGAAAAGAGGGAAAAAACACGCCGTTTAAACCCGATTACATTCATACACACTTCAAACATCTGCTTGTGAGGACAAGCTTTTATCTCGGTTGCGATAAATACGACATTTTAATCTCTTCACACACGCACACAATGTAAACTTCTAATTCCTTAAATCCATAAATATAAATATTAGTGTTTGGTAAATCCCTCATCAAACACATTTAACTCTGCCAGTGGACACTAGGCCAACAGCGCTGGTAATCCACTAGTTTTGTGTGTATGTGAGTGTGTGTGAGTATCTGGTTTCCTTCTACATTTCCGTATACGAATGTTGCTCCATTGAGCCGATTAAGAAAAATGACAGAAAGAGGGCATTTGTCATTCCGCTGGCAAGACTCCACAGTCCACATATGAACACACTCACTCATTTCAAAGGGGAAGACGGTGGAAATCTATCGCGTATGTGCAAGTGTGAAACTTGCTGAAGGGAATGTTATTGCTCAGAGTTTGCTCTTTCATAGCTCAGAAGACTTAATGAGCTTCACACCAGGTTGCATTGTCAAGTAATGGTTGGTGTCGCATTTCACTCCACATTTAGAAACGAAGTCAATTTTAGGTCTGTTTTTTATTGTGATATTATTTTTATGATAATGAAGCACATTTTCTTTCAAACATTCATATGACCGTAATTTGAAAGACATCTAGTTTTTTTGTTATTTGCAGTGCAAGAAAGGGATAAGGAAAATTAAATGTACTGATTGAGGTCAGTTGTTTTCTTTGAAGCACCCTGCATTTCAGGCCTAAAGCTAGCTTTAGCATGGTGGTAAGTTGCAGGTTCTGTCTCTTTGTGGCTGCTCTGACCTTCATTAATCACCTTTAGAGGTCAAAGTATGCTTACAAACAGCTTAACTTAGACAATTAAATACTGCAACTGCTATAATGGCGGTGCAGGAAAGCGATAAGGAAATTTACAACTTACTGGTTGAGGTCGGTTGTTTCTTTGAAGCAATATGTTTTAGGGCCAATGCTAGCTTTAGCATGGTAGCTAGTAGCAGGTTCTGTCTCTTTGCTGCTGCTCTGACCCTTGCTTATCAACTATCAGAGATCAAACTATGTTGCGCAGCTTAACTCAGACAGTTAGACTACAGCTACTACAATGGCAATGCAAGAAAAAGATAAGAAAATTTAAATTTACTGGTTAAGGTCAGTTGTTTCTTTAAATCAGCTTTAGCATGGTAGCTAGTAGCAGGTTCTGTCTCTTTTCGGCTGCTCCTTTCAGAGGTCAAACTATGCTTACAAACACCTTAACTCAGACATTTAGACACTGCAACTACTATAATGGTAATGGCAAGAAAGGCATAAGGACATTTAAATGTACTGGTTGAGGTCAGTTGTTTCTTTGAAGTAACCTGTAGGCCTATTTTAGGGCTATTGTTAGCTTTAGCATGTTGGTAATGAGCAGGTTGTCTCTTTGTGGCTGCTCGACCCTTATTCATCCCTTTCAGAGGTCAAACTATGTTTAAAACAGATTAACTCAGACAACTCGACGATCCAACTACTATAAAGGCAGTTTTAGCCTAAAAAGCCGGCAGCTAGCTCTCTGCAACTGTCACATGGTTGCCCACTGAAGCTAACCCTACTAAAAAAACTGCTTAAACCAGCCTAGGCTGGTTGGCTTGTTTTAGCTGGCTTGCCAGGCTGGTTTTGCCATTTCCACGCTGGTTTCCAGCCATTTCCAGCCTGCTCTTAGCTGGTCAGGCTGGGAGATGACCAGCTAAAACCAACTTGACCAGCCTAGCCAGGCTGGAAGCCCAGCCAATACTAGCTATGTCCACCTTTAACCAGGCTGGTCAAGCTGGTTTTAGCTGGATTTAACTGGTCATTTTCCAGCCTGACCAGCTAAGACCAGGCTGGAAATGATTGGAAACCAGCCTGGAAATGGCCAAAACCCCTCTAAAACCAGGCTGGTCAACCAGCTAAAACCAGCCAACCAGCCTAGGCTGGTTTAAGCTGGATTTTTCAGCATGGAAGCAGGGCTGTACTTGGATGGAAAACCACATGGGAAAGCTAGGTTTCTGCCGGAAGGGGTGCTAGTAAGACCACCAGTGGGCGCTCAACCTGTGGTCTGTTTGGGTCATAACACCCCAATATATTAATGGGGATTCTATACTGCTTAGTGAGCGCCATCTTTTGGGTGAGACATTAAAACCAAGATTCTGACTCTCTGTGGTTGTTAAAAAACCCAGGATGTCCTTCGTAAAAAGAGTAGGGGTTTAACCCCAGAAAATTTGCCCACTGGCCTCTGTCCATCAAGGCCTCTTAACCATCCCCATATCATAATTGGCTTCATCACTCTGTCTCCTCTCCACCAATTAGCTGGTGTGGTGCAATATGGCTGCAGTCACCTTATCCAGTTGGATGCTGCACGCTGGTGGTGGATGGTAAGATTTCCCTCAAAAATGTGTAAAGCGCTTTGAGTGTTCAGAAAAGCGCTATATAAAAAATAATTACTATTAATACAAAGATAAAACCAGAAAGAAACTCCACATGAATAGCTCATTACCACTGCATCTTTACATGGTGCTGCTCCAACTGGAAGCTCCTGAATTTAAAATGAACTTTGAAAAATACAGGGGTTCAGGGTTATTATAACTAACTAAACAAGCATTAAATTATTATTTTTTTTGTTGACTTGAAATGAAATAAATGTCATAAATATAACTATTACAAATGAAATGTGACATTATAATTTAAAAATGACATTTTTATAACTAATAAGTACACACACAGACAGACAGCAAATCAGATAGATATCCAGACAGACAGAAAGAGACAGCTAAACAGATAGACAGCCAGACAGAGACAGCTAAAGAGATAGATAGACAAACAGAGAGACAGACAGGCAGATTATAATAAAACAAATTATAAAACAAAATAATTAATAACACAATAAATGGATTAATAAAGGGACTAAGCCGATAAGTAAATGAATGAATTATTAATAATAATAATAATAATAATAATAATAATAATAATAATAATAATAATAATAATAATAGTTTTAAAAACTTACACACAACTAAAAAGCAATCTTTGTAAGTATATTTAAAATAAAATGAATAAAACAATACAGATGTACTTCAAATAAATAAAAATACAAACTAAAATTAAAATCAGTTGAGAAAAATTAAAACCACTGCAAACTATTGTTAAAAAACTGCAAATCTTATTTTTACTAAATTGCAATTGTGCCTAATCATACCAAAATAGCACTGCCTTACTGTGGCAAAGACATGAATACGGTATTATTTGGTATTATTAAATTATACGATAAAATTAATGTTTCCACAAATAATGTCCATTCCAAGCTCAGTTTGAGACCTCTCTGAGAAAAATGAGAGACAACTGGAGTCTTTATCTAAGTGGAAAATATCTAAAGAAGCAGGGGGTCGTTGCCTAAACACTAATTAAGCTTTCATTAATGTCCTCTATATGAGCTGTATGAGTGCTGGATCAGACAGGTGACTCCAGCCATGCAGTGATGCAGTGGGAGATTTCATACAGCAGGGCTCCAGGAGGCCCAAGAGAACGCGCATGTGTGTGCGTGTGTGTGTGTTTCTCTGTGTCTACAGCCACGTGGGAGGCGATGCCAGTCTGAATGTCGGGCACAGCTGGAAACCACCAGAGCATGAAGCAAGACATAACTTACAGCCAGCAATCTGAATCGCTGTGTACTGGTGTGCGATTGTGCGAAGGAACATCTGCTAAATGGGTAGCTTTCACTCAATGTCTAATTTTGACCCAGTGTGTGTGTGTGTGCCCATGTATTTTTTGCTTTTATTATGCGTGCGATTTGTCACAACCGGTGGGAACATTTGAGGAACTGGATGATGATGATGATTTTGGTTTTAGTAGGCGATGGATTGATTTTCTATTGGTTGCTCACCGTCATCCTTAGTTCTCTCAGCTGTGGGGGGGAGGCTGGGGGGTCCGTCTCCGACACGTGTAAATGCGAGCACCTGGATCTCATACACTGTGAACTTGGAAAGGTTTCTTAAAAGAAGCATGTGGGTCTGGTTCCCGTTCACCAGGTGGGCCTGGGGAGCCCGGTCAGAATCTTTTTCTCTGTATAATACCTAGAGATAAAGGGAAATGTCGGTCATGTGAAGACAGTTTCAATGTGATATAGAATGCTGGAACTGTACGAGTTGTGTAGTAATGCTTGATAATCGATAATTACTATTATTTAAACTTAGAGATAGTTCATTTAAAAAAAATCTCACCCTCAAGTGGTTTTAAACCTTTTTTTTTGTTAAATACAAAAGAAGTTATTTTGAATAGCGCTGTAAACTGGCAGTCATTGACATCCAAAGTAGGATGTTAAAGTAAACAAGTCAATGGCTAACAGTTTACAACATGCTTCAAAATATCTTCTTTTGTGCTAAACAGAAAAAAGAAACTCAAATGGGTTTGGAAAAAGTGGAGGGTGAGTAAATGATGACATAAACTATTACCCTTCTAAGATAAGGATAGGAATAAACACTTTTATAGTAAACAAACAAACAAACAAACAAATGAAAAACCTGAATATCAAAAAATCTTTGAACTCTTGAAGTAAATATACATTTTAATATTATGCATATTATCATTACTATTTTTATTACAACCCAATTTGTAGCAAAACAGTTATATATTTAATAATTGTATTATTATTATTATTATTATTATTATTATTATTATTATTATTATTATTATTATTAGTAGTAGTAGTAGTAGTATAATTATTATTACCAAATATGTACCAAAAAAAATAAAAAAAAATATTTTCAATAATAATAATGCAAGTCAATGGTCAACATTTTTCAAAATATCTTTCAGGAGAAAGAAACTCAAATAGGTTTAGAAAAAGCTGAGCGTGAATAAATGATGACATAATTTTCATGTTTTAAGTAAACTATCCCTTCAAGGTTAAACAAACAAAAGAAAAACCTGAATATCAAAATATTTTTGAACTTTATTGCAAAACAATTTGTACCAAAACAAATATAATTAATTATTATTATTATTATTACCAAATATTTGACGAAAATAATTATATGTTTAATAAGTTTATTATTATTATTATTATTATTATTATTATAACCAAATTTATTCCAAAAATAATTCAATATAAAAATGAATCATTATTACCAATTTTTTAAATTAAAAATATTTATATTTTTAATACTTATATTTATAATAAAATAGTACTAATATATTTATTCATTATTTTTTATTATTTTTGTTGTTGTTGCTGTTACAACTGAATTTGTGCCAAAATTTATATATTTAATAATTTTATTATTATTATTATTATAACCACATTTGTACCAACATAATTATATATTTAATACTTACATTTATAACAATAATAGTACTAATATATTTAATAATATATTAAACTACGAAGGCACAAATAAATCAAATTAAAATGACAATAATAAAAAACAACAAAAAAAAGATTTAAACATTACTAAAACATTAGCAAAGCATAAGATAACATCTTGTTAATGTTTAGCGTAAGTTGGTCTTCTTATTTAGTTTGGTATTATTCCTATTCTTTTAGTGTAATGTTAATTTGTTTTATTTTTGGTTTTGGTATTAGTTTTGATTATAATTTAACGCAAATTTGTCTTTTTATTTTATGGATTCCAGGAAGAATAGCCACTATGTTGGTTGTGACTAACTGCGATATAAATAACCAACAGCAATTGTTTCTACAACACATAATCACTGCGTTTACATCCATCTGCTTCCTCAGATAAAAATCAAGAAAAAACAAACAACAAAAAAAGTTCAACAAGTTTTGTCCAACTTGTGTTGAGACTTCAGAAGAGATCAATAATTAATTGTGTTATTTCATTTTGCCTCACTTTTTACAGTCTAAGCATTTTATCAATTGGCTTCTTCCGTCGGTGTGTAAAGTGAAAAAGTGTTTCAGCAATTTCATGATCTTGCATCATGTCACTCCACACAGCCTAAGCAGAAAATGGAGAAAGTCTTATACAAGCAACAGCGCATGAGTTTCAATAGTTCCTCATGCTTTAGAGACGTGTTCAAATGAACTCAATATGAACTATGTTCAGCTGAATGTATGTGGATTAAAGCATGAGGAGAAACTTTTTGTAGATGTGCGTAACAACAGCTCTTTGAGATACAAAGTGCCTTTGGCGCATGATACAACCATTATTAGATGTGCAGGTGTGCTGCATATATATATACACTTGGTTTTTTCTTCGCTACGATGCGTCACAGTTGCTTCTGAGTGGCTGTTAGAGTGTTTCTGGATGGTTTCTTACTTTCCTACATCAAAAGCATCCAACCTACAGGGGAAGAAGGTACAGGTTCCAGCCATGGGATTTTATTTTTTTGCCTATTTTTAATCACACTTAAGGTGGAAATGGAATTATCAACATATATTTTCTCCTGCATTGAGACGTAAATCTGGATTTAATGAATCGGAAAAAGAAAGGTTTGTGATGTAGACTTATGCACTATTCATTGGCTGTTGATGGAATAGGAGGCAAATATGAATCAAAATAGGTAAAGGTTTAAGCGAGTAAAGGCTTAAGCGAGTAAAGCTTTAAGCAGATCATATCACAGCAGAAATCTGGAGTAAAGACTGCCACAATTGATCTGAAAAACAAAAAAACAAATATATATATATATATATATATATATATATATATATATATATATATATATATATATATATATATATATATATATTTCACACAAAATACCAACTATTATAATTAATCAATTCTAAAACTAGTTACACATGTGGCAATATCAAATTTTGATCACATGGTAATTGTTGAACCTGTAATTATTGTGCAGTACACAATATTATCTGTATTTACTGTATTTATTAAACTAAGGTTGAATGTTTGATGTTGTCCTCTATATTAAAAATGTAATAATTTTTCGAATAATAAATAAATAAGTTAAGTTTAACATAGCAAGGACATTTTCAGACTTAAGGCCCGTGCACACCTGGACGCGTTTTGCTCATGTTTTCTGTCGATGTTTAACGCCTCACGTGCACGGAGCTGCTGAAGTTACAGTAAACAGCACTTGGAGGCGCTCAAGCACAAAACTGTCAATGTGAGCGCACATTGAAGAAGATGCCAAAAGGCGATATCAACGTGGAGCTGCTTATTGCTCTAGTGAGAGAGCTGGAGCTGCTACTTGAACCATCCATTACAACAAGCATGTCAACTTTGTCTTCTTCTTGTGTGTCTGAAGCTTAAAGTTGTGTAGCGCCATCTAACGTCATGAAGTGATTTTGCATACTCTTCTGCTTGATGACGGTTAAAATCGTTTGGGTCTGAATACGGAAAAACATCTTAGAAAAAGCTAAATGTTTTTCAACATGCAAAGAAATATGGATAAGACCAAGGAAGCACTTTTTGAAGGCAAGTTTCAGTATAAAACAATTCCAGCGTTTCCTCCAGTTTCATGCAATTTCGGGTGTTTCAGTTTTAACTTTCAACTTTTGTTTTAATGGAATTTGATACTGCATGGCGAACGGAAAGAAAAACCTCCGCATTTCGCAACTCTGTGGTCCTTTAAGGTAATCAAAAATTGCTGCTAACATGGTAGACTCTTAATAAGAGTATTATCTTAATCATATTCAAATCAGAGTATTGGTGTCCATGGAAATGTACTGAAAAAGTGCCAGATGAATTCGAAAGCTGTCAAAGACAGCACATTCCTCTGCCCTTCAGCATAAAAAGTTCCATGCTCTGTTAAACATCATTTGGGAAAAATATATATTAAAAAAGGGGAACACTTGGAGTAACATTGTGTTGTTAAAGTGTTCCCTTTATTTTTTAAGCATTTATATATCCTAACATCCAAAAAAAACCTTCATTATCTTCAGTCTCAATATACAGTAGAAATGTGCCCGTCTGCAGTGTTTCAGAAGGCAGAGCTCACCAGCCAAGCCTGTGGGGGATTTTAAGGGTCTTAAAGCATTCCCTTTGATATAGTAACCGTACCTTGTAACCAAGGATGTGTCCATTCTTCTGGTGTTCAGGGACCGAACCCCAGGTGACCAATACACTCGTGGAGCTCATTGCTTCTGCGCTCACATTCTCCGGAGCACCAGAGGGAACTGAAAACACATCCATAGAAAAAGCCATTTTATAGCAAAGCATAAAAAAAATACTCAAAGCAAGACACTTTAGGAGTAGTTACAGTGATTTTACAACACTTCAAGGATGTTTTCCTTTATACTGAAAGAGCAATTCCTTAAAAAGACACACTTTGATTAATAACAGTGAGGATAAACTAATTAAACAAGTAATGCATTTTAAAACAGTTCAGATTTCACAACTACTGGGGATTTTGGCAGAAATCTCACCTTCTTTTTGGAGTCTGTAACATTCACTGATTAAAAACTGAAAATAGCTGACAGCTTAAACAGCTTCTGAAATTTCTTTCTGAATGCTTGTCATGTAAAGCGTGCGGAAATACGAACTGCACAAGCAGAAACACTTGTAATGGACTGATTTAGGATCAAATTCGAAGGGGCGAAGCTACCCTGAGAATGTGTGTGATGTGTATTTGCTCCCTCAGGGCTTGTCGGCATATGTTAATGCGCAGTTTCAGTGAGATAAAGATGTTCGTTTGATAAATGAAGCAATGAAGATGCATACTTATTCTTGTGAGTCTTTTAAGTATAGGAAAAGTAGAGGAATTTTTTTTTTTTGTGATATAATGTTTTTTAAAGAATCCCTATTATGGGTTTTTGAAAATGACCCTCCATGTAGTGTGGAACACAGCTCTAAGTGAAGTGAAATATCAAGCTAAGGCTTAATCTAAAAGTGCAGTGTTTAAAACTATTGATTCATCCATAAAAGAGTCGACTTATAGTGCTTTAAATGAATCGTCTTAATAACGAGTCTTCAGCCGTTTTGACGTGATGACGATATGAAACTTAAGCCCCGCCCAATTATTGCGCGCGCAAACCCAGGAAAATTTAAACCCCCGGCCCCGCCCACAAACACAGTAGCAAAGAAAAAGAGGAAGACAAACACTGTAGCAGATACCGGTTAAATCAGGTCATGAAGAAGCTGTGCTCAGCTGGATATTACTGGAGGTGTGAGGGAAAGTTAGTGTTATTTTCTCTACCTAAAGATGAGGCTGTAAAGAGTCAGTGGTTGAGGTTTATTTTTGCTAAATTGGCTCAATTATAACCCCAGCCTTGTGCTGTAATACGTTTTTCTGGAATCTACACGCTTACAACAAGGGATTTGTCAGCCATTTGTTAAAGGAAGGAAGAGAAAAGACTATTGATGTGTGGGACTTTGTGGTTGAAATCACGGTAGTTTTCCAGGATAAATAATAAAACAGGAAGGTGGCGGGAGATAGGTCTGAAATACGGGAGACTTCTGGGAAAAACAGCAGGTATGCTCACACAAACACTCTGCACTCTGACTACTTCAACATTGTTGATAAGCCATGGTGAGCATTTTACTCTGTCTCGCGCTGAACGCTATTGATCAATCGCAACAGACTGGGTCATCGGTCCAGTCAGCGCAGATTAGCATCGCGCTAAGGAGGGGTTTGGGAACAAATGAATCGCTGAACAAATCATATGGGAGTCTTTGGGATAATTAGGTAAAAAATAAAGGCATGTTAAGGGCGAGGCAGTGGCGCAGTAGGTAGTGCTATCGCCTGACAGCAAGAAGGCTGCTGGGTCGCTGGTTCGAACCTCGGCTCAGTTGGCGTTTTTGTGTGGAGTTTGCATGTTCTCCCTGCGTTTGCGTGGGTTTCCTCTGGGTGCTCAGGTTTCCCCCACAGTCATGCGGTACAGATGAATGTGTGTGTGTGTGTGTGTGTGTGTGTATGTGTCCCAGAGATGGGTTGCTGCTGGAAGGGCATCCGCTGCGTAAAAACATGCTGTATAAGTTGGCGGTTCATTCCGCTGTAGGCGACCCCGAATTAATAAAGGGGCTAAGCCGACAAGAAAATGAATGAATGAATAATGCATATTATAAGACAATAAAAGTGTTTTTTTGACCTTGAATCCATATCAGACTGTTGTTGGAGACTACCAAAACCAAAATATGACCCTTTTTAATGTATAATAGAGGCTCTTTTAGTTATTATTATTTTAGCACATTGGGATTTCCAGGGTTATAAACATCTTGAAAACTTTCAAAAATCGTAAAAAGTGGTGGAGATTTCTATAATCCAAGCAATTCTGATTGGCGAAGACACTGAAATGCTTACTGGAGGACTCTTTTGCTTTTAAAGGCTGTTTATTTGATCAAAAATACAGTTTTAAATCATTTTAAGGAATAAACATTTAGAAAAATGTTGGAAACCTGTAACCATTGACTTACATTCATTTATTCATTTTCTTTTCAGCTAAGTCCCTTTATTAATCAGTGGTCACCACAGTGAAATAAACCGCCAACTTATCCAGCATATGTTTTACGCAGCAGATGCCCTACCAGCAGCAACCCAACAATGGGAAACACCCATAGACACTTATTCACACACATACACTATAGCCAATTTTAAAAAATATATATTTATTTGACATGGACATCACAATTACCCTGGACAACCAAATGAATTTGCTTAAGTGTATTAGCAGACTTGCTAATTCTCAACACTCGTCCACTGAAGGCTTGACAAAATTGCCAAAAAGCAGATATAATAAATGCATATACACAACATTATGATTTTTTTTTACATAAAATTACTGAAGGCAAAAGCAAAGGCAGCATGATCAAACAAACTAATATGAGACTATTTGTGCAAACACGGCTCCTTTGTTCTCAACCACTTTTAGAGAACACGACTAAAAATATTTATATTACTTTGTAATTTTAGGCTTGCAGGTAAAGCATTCTACAATTTGGCTCCCATTGCAGAAAAAACAGATTGATTAAATGAGGTACACGTACACTTTAGCTTATTAAAGAAATAAGCAATTTAGCTTATTCAGGTTACCTATAGCGCATGTCTTTGGACTGTCTGGAAAACTGGAGCAACCGGAGGAAACCCATTTAAACACGGGGAGAACATGACTCTTTTGACTTACTGTACATGCTATTTGTTTTTCCTACTATGAAAGTAAATGGTTACAGGTTTCTTACATTTTTTTAAAATATCTTCTTTTTTGTGTTCAACATGAAGTCATGAATCTATTCCTTTAAAACCAGTTAAACTGTATTTAATAAATGCAAACTGCTTGTATTATTATAATAATTATAATTCATCATCCTTAAAAATCCTTCTGACATGCTGATTTGATGCATGAGTAACATTTTTATTAATATTTTCTGTCATTTTAACGTTGATCAATGTAATGTAGCCTTGATGAACAAGAAATAAACAAATAAATGAGTCATAGTGTGCTCAGCTTCAGTAATTTTGCAGTATCTCTCTCTACGCTGTTTCAGTTTGAATGTGGCTAGCTTGACCATCAAGCCCTCTTGAATTTAAATGGTCCACTAGAAACGAGTGCAATCTCTATAAAATATTTTAAATGTCATGTATAACAGGAAAAATTACAGTGAACTAGATAAGTGGTCACCGTCAAAGCCACAAGTGCAGCCCCAGCAGCTGCCTCTGACAATTTCCTACTTTCTAGATGCCGTGTAAGGGTCGTCAGGATCATTTCCTCAGCAGGGAGCCACTGGAGCTGCTATCATCCACCCTCTGAGAGACGAAGCCTCGGGCACAAACTCTATCGGAGTATCCACTAACTATGCAAATGAAGCTTACGACTAAAAATCGGCTACCGGGACGCTGGCGAAACTTGTTTTTGAGTTGCTAAGCAACACAGCAACTTGTGGGATTAATAAAAATCAACTGACATAAAATAAAAAATGTAACATGCAAAACAATTAAAATGGAAATGTGACCATAATGCATCAACATAATGATGCTTAAATTAACATAACCCATTTGGTTACTTGCAAAACAGCAGTTCAGTTTTCTTTCTTTTCCTCAGATGGAGGATAAAATGACATTAAACTTTGCATCAAACTTGATTGATCTTTTATTCTGATTGCTGTGCAAAGTTCCTGTTTGGACCTGGCGCTAATGTGCACTTTTACTGATCTGATCACAAGTGGTCAGCTGAGATGCATTACAGTTTCCACATGCTATTAACAAGAGTTCAAACATGTTTAAACTTTAATCTAACTAAATACAGTCTCTTAAATCTATTACATTTGACATTTAGCTTTAGAAACCCATATTTTGATTCAACAAATGATTTATTACACGCTGGACTTTGATTTTTTTAATATTAAGTTGCGTACAAATTGCATATAAGAATACTTTTTTGGCAGTTTCAGTTGGCTACCAGCAATCTTCAATAGATATTTTCATATTTTTTATGATCTAAAAAGAAAAAGAAATTTGAAAGAAAGGTTTAAAATAATGCGAATGATTGTTTCTGGCTGAATTAATCACTTATAATTAGGGATGTAACGGTATCAGAATTTCACGGTACGATAATACCTCGGTATGAATGGCACGGTACGGTATTTATTGAATAATTTACAGGAAAAACAAAACTAATGAAAAGACTCAAAAAAAGTGCCAAAAGTGTTTATTTACCTTAGCACTGAACATATCAATGAAATACAAATTAGCATTAGAAAGAAACCGAAATGCTTCCACACATCTGATTTAAAACCCGCTTTAGGTTCGATCATTTCCAGCTCTTTTTCTACCCCGCTACTAGCAACACACTCCATTTCCGCATTACTGGATCTGTAGTGACAACAGACTGCAAAGGATGATGTTCACGCCTAGGCTGATGGGAATTGTAGTTCCCGATACCTCCTGTTTGCTTCATTCGCCTAAGCAAACTTTTCTCAGAAATATAGTTCTATTGAGTCATTCGCCTACGGTAATATTGAAAAAAGTCCCCTGAATTATTATCCCCCTGTTAAGTTTTTTCCCTAACTTCTGTGTAACGGAGAGAAGATTTTTCAACACATTTTTAAACATAACAGTTTTAATAACTCATTTCTAATAACTGATTTATTTTATCTTTGCCATGATGACAATACATAATATTTGTCTAGATATTTTTATAAGACACTTCTACAGCTCAAAGTGACATTTAAAGGCTTAACTAGGTTAATTAGGTTAACTAGGCAGGTTTGGGTAATTAGGCAAGTTATTGTATAACGATGGTTCTGTAGACAGTCGAAAAAAAATTAGCTCAAAAAGGCTAATAATTTTGACCTTAAAATGGCTTTTAAAAAATTTAAAACTGCTTTTATTCTAGCCGAAATAAAACAAATAAGACTTTCTCCAGAAGAAAAAATATTATCAGACATACTGTGAAAAAAAAAAAAAAAATTCACAGGGGGGCTAATAATTTTGACTTTAACTGTATAATTTGAGTTATGACTTAAAGGTTGCAGTTATGAGTCTCTGTACCGGCATGCATATTGAATGTATAGTAAGTGAGCAAACCCTCAACTGTTCCCTGGGCAGCATATAAAAAATGGCTGATTAGTGCTCTATCAATACACTGCAATTTTGTGTTAGGCATTTATGAACACCTCAAAATGTTTTAGACTTAATTTAAAGCTGTATTTAGTGTCACATACTTTTGATTGGATTTTTAAAAATGCATCTTAATGACAGATGTAAATTGAGTCTCTGGAAAGTAGTTGTAATGTGTGTCACCTGACTCTTTGGTTTTGCCCAGTACATGACTGCTCCAGGGTCCAGGCCCGATACTGTTGAAGGCCTGAATGCTCAGCTCATAGTCCGTCCACTCTTCCAGTCCCTCTACTGTCACCTCACAGGATAAGCGATCAGAAACAGTCTCCATACGGGGCTGCCCAAACCCATCCGCTCGCTGTGCTCGAACACGATAACCCACACTTTCAGGATTCCCGTTATAAGCCGCCTCTGGAAGTGGCTACAAAAGACGAAGAGAAAAACATTGAGACAGAAGAAACTGACAAACTAATTCAACTGATTGAATTGTAACATGCAATTATATCGGATTAGATATACTCTTATTTATTCTTTAAAAATGTGTAACTTTAATTTAGTAAGCTTGATATAAAGACATTTATAAAATGACAAGCAAATGGAGTTTTCAAATAAGCGCTGTTCTTATAAAACTTTTTATTGATCAGATAATACCCAAAAAGTGTATCAGTTACCACAAAATACTGAACAGCACAACTGTTATCAACATTGATAATAATAAGCAGGGTGCAAATTATACATTCAAGATTGGGGGGAGGGGGGTGGTCATCTTTTTCGGTAGAAGTTTGACAGAACATGCTTCAGTGAATCAAATTTATGAATGTATTTAGATTACATGTTATTTTTTTAATAAATTGTATGTGTTTTTAGTGTTTTGAGGGACATTTAGAGACTATTTTGGAGGTTTCTAACGCTCAAACTATAAAAATTATGTGTCTAATTTTTCTATTGTTTACGCAACATGCAGATATAAACACCTATTTTACAAGAAACGTGTTTTGTGAATACTTAAGATGTCTTTCGGTGCTCTAGAACTGCAAGTTTCAGACATTTTTTTTAGACAATTTATTTTTCCTAGCATTGATTGACATGATTATGCATTCACAAAAGTATGAACCGTTATGGGGGAGCCACATGTACATTTAAACTATACATTTTTAATTATTAAATGTGCATTAAATCAGCATGTGAGAATAATTTCTTATAAATCCTGTAAATAATCATGGTGAAAATGTAATTTAATTTAATTTAATTTAATTTAATTTAATTTAATTTAATTTAATTTAATTTAATTTAATTTAATTTAATTTAATTTGTATGTTGCTTTTCACAATAATCATTTTAGTGCAGTATCTGTACTTTTAATCCGCTACTTTCCTTCAACCTGCGGTCCCTTCTTTATTTTTTCCTGTCTATAGGGAATAGAAATATCAGTCCTGTGATTCATGACCAATCAAATTACACAAATAAGGTCAATTGCATCATAATGAACTACTTCAAGACATGGGCAAGTTATAATTGGAGCAAACTTTGGAAGCATTTAAAGTGTCCAAAAAGATGTCCAAAATCTTTAAACACCCAGCAGGCACAAGACGTCAACATGATGTCAGATTGACGTTGTAACCCATGTCGTGTGGACATTGCATTTTGTTTGGAAATGAAAATCGTGTTGACAACAGAACCCCACATCAGGCTGACATTAATCTCAAACCTAAAATCAACCAAATATCAACGTCTAATGATGTTATAGCCTGACATTGTGTGGACGTTACTACTATGATATCTATCAGGATTTTGGTTGCTATACATGATGAATAAATGTCAGTATTTGACGTCAAAATGACGTTGGTTTAAGATGTTGGTTTGACGTTGGATTTTGGTCACTTTCTAACACAACCTAAAATCAACCTAAAATCAACCAAATATCAACTTCCTTTGATGTTGTTATTGGTCATAAAATAATAATGTCCTTAGACGCTGGCTAGACGTTGAATTTTGTGAACCTAACAACACAACTTAAATCTAACCTAATATGAATATCTTATAACATTGTGTGCCTGCTGGGCGATAACTAAATGCACTACAGAATGTTATGTTTACACACATCCAAGAATTAAATGTAAATGCATCAGCTTTTACAGCATAATACTCACTACTACTTTTGAAAGGGCTACTTTTTACTCATGCTTTGAGTAATATTTACAAAAGTTACTTTTACTCTACTTAAACTACATTTTTGGGCAAGTAATTGTCTTTTTACTCTTACCACTACTCGTATTAGGTGTATCAATCAGAATACAATCAGAATATTAGAATTTCTGGTAAGCAGAATGAACTTCTAAAAATAAATAAATAAATAGAAAAGGTTTATTCTTACTAAAGTTTTGTCCTAAACTTGCGAAAAGCACTGAAAACTTTTTTTTATCATTGTTATTGTTCAGAAATTTAAGTGCTGGAATAGTCAAACTAATTTTCTGCATGTTAATCTTACTCAACGGAAATGACTGTTTCTCAGCTCATCCCAATGGCTAAATTCTATGATGATCTGGATGAATGAAAACCTTCACAAGCGTCAAATTGTGTGCAGCAAACAGAAAGGAAGTTCCTTAATCTTCTCATAAACATAAATTAAATGACATTTGAAATTGGCTGTAATGCGGCTCAGTCCCCCGTCTGCTTCAGCTGTGAGTTACGCATTGGCAAACAGCTCAGAGACGTTTTCCAGCATCCCATGCCAACAGTTCGCACATGGTTGCTCGCCTAGTACTTTAATGCACACTTGAAATCTTATGATGTTCACAGCTTTAGTACGTTGACTGTTTGAAGCGTTTCAATTAAAATGCTTTTGGCATTTCAGTGAATGCTGATGCAGGTGACTTCATAGGCACAGGCCAACTCGGTGTTTCAGGTTTTATATTCTCCACAATAAACTGGTCATCTTCTTTTGTAGCATCGCGTTTAGATATATCATGTGAAATTAAACATTCAAAGCTCAACTATTAAACATGAAATCTCATTCATTTAATTAGAAAAAGAAAATTGCTTTATTGTATATTCAAAGTTCTACAATGGAACTCCATAGTGGTTCCAAAGTCCTGCTATGGAAGAAAATGGGGACCATCAACGGTTTGGTCACCAGTCCTATTTAGGAAGTCAGTGGGTACTATCAACTGTTTGGTTACCAGTCCTACTATAGAAGTCAATGGGTACTATCTACAGTTTGGTTACCAGTCCTGCTATGGAAGTCAATGAAGAGTATCAACTGTTTGGTTACCAGTCCTTCTATAGAAGTCAATGAGTATTATCTACTGTTTGGTTACTAGTCCTACTGTAAAAGTCAATGGGGCCAATTAACTATTTGGTTACCAGTCCTATCACAGAAGTCAATGGGAACAATCAACTGTTTGGTTTCCAGTTCTATTGTGGAAGTCAATTAGGGACTATTGCATGCTTAGTAACCAGTCCTACCATGGAAGTCAATGGGAATTGTTGATTGTTTGGCTACCAGTCTTACTGTGGAAGCACTATCAACTGTTTAATTACCAGTCCTAATATAGAAGTCAGCGGGGACCATTGAATGCTTAAAAAAACAGAAGTCAATTGGTACATTCGACTAGTTACAAGTCCTACTGTAAAAGTCAATGTGGCCAATCAACTTTTTGGCTACCCGTCCTATTGTGGAAGTCAATGGGAACCATTGAATGTTTAGTAACAAGTTATACTGTGGAAGTCAATGGGGGCCATTGACTGGTTGGTTGTCAGTCCTACTATAGAAGCCAATGGGTACTATCAAGTTTTTGGTTACCAGTCCTACTATAGATGTCAATGGGGACTACCAACTGTTTGGTTACCAGTCCTACTGCGGAAGTTAATGGGGACTATTGCATGTTTAGTAACCATCCTACCATACACGTCAATTGTCAATGGGGACTATATACTGTTTAGTTACCAGTCCTACTATAGAAGTCAAAGGGGACTTTTGACTGTTAAGTTAACAGTCCTAATGAGGAAGTCAACAAGAACTATCAGCTGTTTGGTTACCTGTCTTACTGTGGAAGTCAATGAGGACTATCAACTGTTTGGTTACCAGTCCTACTATAGAAGTCAATGGGGACTTTTGACTGTTTAGTAACCAGTCATACTATAGAAATCAAAAGAGGCTATCAACTGTTCGGCTACCAGTCCTACTGTGAAAGTCAATAAAAGTATCGACTGTTTGGCTTCCAGTCCTATTATAGAAGTCAATGGGGACTGTTGACTGTTTGGTTACTAGTCCTAGTTTGGAAGTCAATGGGGACTATTGACTGTTTAGTAACCAGTATTACTAAAGAAGTTAACAGGGACTTTTGACTATTTGGTTACCAGTCCTACTATAAAAGTCAATGGGGACTATTGACTGTTTGGTTTCCAGATTTATACAATATACTGTATCTTCTTTTGTGTTCTGAGAACAGAGAGCAAGTGTATAGGGTGAGTAAACAATGACAAGATTTTCATTTTTACATGAACCACACCTTTAAGATTTTGTCCACGTTCAACCACTTCTAAAGCCCCCTTCCACATAGTAAATTAATTTCAAAGAGAAAATTCTCATGCAGTAATATATTAATATCTGCTAGAATAAGGGTAAAGATATCAAAAAAGGGCACTTGTTGGGTTTAAAAGTGATGCCAAGGGATCCTGATGATGAGTCAAAATGTGCCATTTTTTTCCTTTGGTTCAATTTAAATTTGATTAAACTGAATAATGAGTGGCTGGGTTTATATGCTGAAAAAAGCAAGTCTTTCTTCTAAAATACTTCTAAGGCTCAGCGCATTTCCACAGCAACTGCTCATAAAACTCATCTTACATATTCTCCTCATTAAAGACATTAAAACTGAAGAAACTTTGGTTGCTCGGTAAGCGACAGAAGAGCTATAAAAGCATAACCTTCTCGTCAATGGCAGCAACATGGAAGTTTTAGCAAGAGCATAATAAATTACTATCCATAAAAAAGGGTTAGAGGTCTCTGTTTTCGTTTTCAACACTTCAGAAGTACTGCATTAAGCACTATTATGTCCTGAGGGTCATTTTTTTCAGCAGCGGCTCCCCACAAATGTGTTGCTATGACCAGTGGAGACTTTCCAAAAGCTGTTTTTTAGATTAAATGGAGTCCTGTCTCATGAAATGACAGCTTTCATGTTATATGCCTCTACAACTCAAATTCTTCGATCGCTCTTCAGGCTCTGAAAAGGTGAGAGGGGAAAAAAGGAGAAGTGAAGGAGAAAATAACAGCAATTATATCTGATACTGACAGACACTATGGCTCGTGATAGCAGAAAAACAGACAGGAAAAATAAGCTGTCAAACCTCTTCCAGTATATACCTCCACTATAAAGAGTGTGCAGAGAAGAGCAACAGATCATATTTGCGTGCATCTCTGCA